GGCAGACCAGGGACATGGGGAGCAGAGCCGCAGCGGCAGCAGGGTGCCGCGCCTCTGAGGCTTTGCTCTGGCAAAGTCTCAGAGGCGCGGGAACCCGCCCGGTGCCCCTGGTCTGCTGGAGACGGTCTCCAGCAGACCAGGAGCACCCGAGCAGCTTACGAATGGGGCTTTCTCCCCCGGAGCTCGCAGGTAGTAATCCGCTACCTCGACCTCCGGGGCGAGAAAGCCCCATTCGTAAGTGCGGATCCGACATAAGTCAGATCCGCGTAAGTCGGGGACCGCCTGTAGTTATTTCTACTGAAAAACTGATCAAACATCAGAACTATACATATTCATCATTGGGGTATGTCACTTTTGGAAGCTGATCATATTTTAGATACTGATCAAAAATATTTAAAAAATAAAATTATGCTTACCAGATTTGCAATGTTCCTCAACAACAAACTGAAAACAGTCTTGTGTAAACTGTGGTGCATTATCATTATCATCCTCAATTCTGATTGTATGTACCAGTGGTCTCTCTGGTGAGTAGCCATCTGCAGTGGTTGCAAAGCAAATTATCTATAAAGGAGAAAAAAAAGCCACTTAGTTGCCAGCTGTTCTAGAGCAGACAAATGTTCTTTTTCTGCCCAATGGATAACAGAGTCTATGGAATAATTTCTGAAAAGTACAACATGTCAAATGTACTCTTTTCATAAACAGACAACATTCACTAGATGTAAATTTGGCTTATGCCTGCAATAAATATTTTGCAGCTATTAGTATATACTAATCTTTCCTTGCTGACCACAGAAAAACCAAGATAAGTTCTTGCTAACCAATGGTGCACTGTTTTTGTTGTTGTTCTCTTCTCCTTTTGTTACCAATAGCTTTTACTTCAGGATAAAGTGCTAGATGCAATTTAAGTAACAAATCTGTCTTCATTCTGAGGCAAGAGCAGATGACTGATATAGACTGGAGGTGGCAGAAGTAATGCATTTAACTACTTCCCAGCGTCATTCACATGCAACTATGCAAACTAATGCAAATGGTTGTCAAAGATTTCCATCCTGAAATCTGAAAACATTGAAGAACTTATATTTGACCCTCTGTCACTCACCAACCCATCTTGTATCCAAGTGTCATACTGAGAAGTGTCCATTGAGAGTCCAGCTTTTGGCAAAAAGGTGAAAAGGAAACACTCAAGGGAGCGAGCAGTACCAGCAGCTTTATGGGATGGGACTATGTAGACATTAGGGATGTCATGTAGACAGCTACACGATTAACTGATAAGCCTACGTTTGTCAGTTTAACTTGTTCCCTACTTGCATTCCCCCCCCCCCACATACACACACACACTCCTTGATGCCACTGTGTCAGAGGCAGCAAAGTGTGGGGGGAGCTGGAGGGAGTGCTGGCTTTAAGCAAGTTCCCCACAAGCACCGGATCTGCCAGCCCTCCCCAAAGCCCCATGATGCTGCCTCTGATAGAGGGCGAGCGAGGCAGCCTGGAGCTGATATGCAAGGGGAGCCAGCTTTCAAGTTACATTATCAGTATTGTATAAACGAAGAGTGTCCAAGTACAGCAACTCAAGCATTTAAGCAGAAGAGTAAAAAAAATGAAGCAGCAATTGCCATAGACATAACTACCTGTGTTTCTCATTAACTTTCTTTTTAATTAAGACATTACCCTGGGTAACCAACTGCGAAAGAAGAGAATGGAGGAAGCAATTCACTGGGAAATAAGCAGGAGGGAAGCAATCAACAAACAAATCTAATGTGCAATGGAATTCTTAATCTGTATCTTAAATTTTATTTTCACTACTTCCCTCTCAGAGGGTATGCCTAGATCCGGGAGGAAAAAACTCTGAGGTGTCCTGTAAACGGGTTTGCTCTTCCGCTTTTTTGCGGAAGGGCAGATGCGCTTTCAGAAGCCCTGTCTTCCTCATTTCATGAGGAAGAAGAGATCTTCTGAAAGAAGGATTTTTTCTGAAATTTGGCCCACTGTAGACAAGCCAAATTTTGGAAAAGTCTTTTACGAAAAAAAGCGGAAAAAGGTACGTAAAATGCGGAGCATATTTTGCATGCCTTTTTCCGAAAAAAAGTTGTAGTGTAGACATAGCCAAAGTAATAGCTTCTTGCTGCGCAGGGAAACACTCCATTGTTCTTAAGAAACCAGCAGGGAGCAGGCATCTCCATGTCTCCCAGCTCCTTATACCTTTCAACCAGCAGAGAGAGCAGTTTACCCATTTAACAAACATTACAACTGAACAGAAAAAGCAAATGCTGCAGAACTAATATAGTTGTCTTATCTTTGTCGGATTTTAATTTTACATGGACTTTTTGAATTCTTCCACCAGAAAAGAGAAAAGTGCTATAAAGCTAGGTCTTCCTTCACCCATGCCACCAATTTCTGCCCATAAATATCAGAGAGAATTTTGAGACAGTTGTCTGAATACTGGTGCATTTTCCTCTCATTCCTGTTAGGACATACCAGGGAAGTATTAGCACTAGAAATGAAAATACTAATGCATTTAATTGTGTGTTCAATCTAGGTCCTTACTTTAAACATTGGATACTCTTCACGGTCTACTGGGCCAGTAGCAAAAATATTCCCAGTTTCTTTTTCCACGTAAAACAAACCCACTGGCTCTTTATCAATTCCAGGACCAGTTGCAGAGTAATAAATGGTGTAGTGTTGAGCTGTGTCAGATTGGACCTAGAGTTTGTTAAACGAAGACAAAACACAATTATTAAACGGTGTTCTCAATATAAATACGGAATAGAAAACACAGACATGCTTCGGAAAGGATGCATAAAATCCAATTCTTATTTTCCCCAAGTACTACAGCAACTCAAACTCTTATAAAGAATAAGGAAGTGATCTGCTCAGTGCCATTCTTAACTACCTTTGTATTAAATGCACTTGTGAGAAAGGTCGCTAATCCTTTACAAATATCAGCGGAAGGAAATCCAGCTTGAAGAAAAGTACAAAGGGGAGTGAAGACGTGAGTAGCACTATTTAAAAAACGTTTCCTGCAGGATGACAGTGACATCATGCATCACTCTGCATCCCCTCCTTCCACCCTCAGCTACATGGCCTCCACCAGCCCCAGTGCTTAGTGGGAGCCATGAGACATGTGGCCTCCCCCATAGTTGGCTGGGCTTCCTGCAGCTTTGGATCAGCCTGACGCCCCCAGCAGCTGGGGGGAGAGAGCCAGGCCTGCCACAGCAAGGCCTTGGGCATCAGGGGACAGGAGCCACGAGCTGTGTAGCTCCTACGTCATGTGGCTTCCCTCCTCCCCAGTACTCCGGGGAGAGGCTGTGTGGCCTGCATACTTTGTTCCCAAAGCAGGGCTGTGGGGGGCATGCAGCAGCACGGGCAGCAACAGGGTTGGGATGGGGAGGGCAGCTGGGAAGCAGGGCAGCCTGACTCCGCTCAGTCCTGGACGTCTTGGGTCATACTCAGGAGCCGCTTGAGAAGAACAAAGGCAGGTGAGGCCTCCACTTCCCTCTCAGTAAGCCAGGGTGGCACTGTAGGATCGGGCCCCAGGCAGAGATGCACCACAGACTAGAGCAGCTGGAAGCCGGCAAAGGTGCTTGTGTCCCACTGATTGCTTCCCTCTCAGTAAGCCAGGGTGGCACTGCAGGATCGGGCCCCAGGCAGAGATGCCCCACAGCCTAGAGCAGCTGGAAGCCAGCAGAGGTGCTTGTGTCCTACTGAATGCCTTTGGATATGGGTCGCTAGTGGGCAAAAGGGTGGGGGAAAAGATAGGCTGGCACTCCACTTCCTACAGAGAAAGGGACTCCCAACCCCACCCCACAATGCATAGGGTGTGACGGGCTCCCTCAACTCCACCTGAAGGGTAATGCCACCTCCAGGTGTATGGGGGAGAACCCCCCTACACCGACCCCCTCCCAGCGCTGCACCTCACAGGCCGGCAGGTAATCCCCTCCCCTTGGCACCCAAGTATTGCTCCACCTCCTGGCTCCACACCACACAGGCCGGCAGTTAACCCCTTCCCCCAGATGCTATCCCACCCCCCCTTCCCCCAACAGACTCCAGGCAGGTTGAGTCAGGGGCTAACTTCCCCCACCACCATCTCCCAAAGCATCACAAAGGGGCAGCCCAGCAGCATTCGTAGCAGCTGCCAAACTGTTGGTGCCGTTTCCTTGCTAGTTAGGTTGCCCCTTCATGAGAGGGAGCAGGGCGTACGTAGGGAGGGAGGGAGGGAGGGGGATAGGGTGTATGTGGGGATGGGAGGTGTAGTAAAGGGGGATGGTAGAGGTGAGTGGGATATAGGAATGGAGACCAGGGGGATGTGGAGAGAGGAGAGGTTCAGGAGGATGGGTGGGTGTAGGGCTGGAAGGAAGAGGGTAGATCATGGAGCTCTCCTCCTCACAGCAGCACATGCTCTTTTCCACAAGCCAAATCTGGTTTGGAGCCTCAGGGTTTTCTTCTCGTCCAACTCCACAACTGTAATCTTGCTGGGGGAGGTGGATGGGGGGGCGGAGAGACGGTGCGGCACATTGTTCAAGGCTGGAGTGCCAGGCAGGTGGTGGCCTGAGCACGGGCCAGGCAGAGGCAGCAGTTTCCCCTGG